TTTTTATTAATTAAACGTATCATATATAATATTACGAAACTTAAGTACGAGAAATGCAGCTAATACGGACTTCTAGGTGAATTTTTTCAAGATCTGAATTTAGGTTTTTTTTTTTTTTTTTTTAATTTTTATTTTTGAAGCGAACTTTATGCATTTTCAACGTTTATCCTTGTTTATCATCGAATAAAATCATCGCTGAATTTCATTTTCTAGCCCACATAATATATCATAAAATAATATTCCGAACGAAATTTTTTCTGCTTCTCTAACATAAATTAACGATACTCTTGTGATTTTTCGAGAAGTAATTGGTCATTTCTAGTCATTGTATCTTAAATATCTTTAAATTCCACATCGAAAAATGTACAGCTTTCGTACTCTTTTAAAACAAGAGTTTAAAAATATATAAATCAGATAATTTTGTATATCTTTTACTTCCTTGCATGAAGTAAAGGAAGTTTTGTAATCGCGAAAAATTCCGGGTATTATATTTCAAAGGAAATATTCATTTTGACCGCTCCCGAATACGTTTGGATGGTTCTTTTTTGCTTGACTTTTGTAAGCACTAATATAAAGAATAAAGAAATGTTTTTTTTTTTTTTTTTTTCTAAAACAGATTGTAAAATGGTTTTAAAACGGGTTCAAATGGAATTTTTTACGTGACTTCTATACGTAGGTATGTGTGTATTTCGCATACCTACGTATCTAAAAAAGCTTAGCCGTATAATGTTGAAATTTTATATACAGGTCTAAGTATTTTAAATGGCGAAAATATTCATGTTTGGGGCAACATCAAAATTTTAAAAAACAATTTTTGATAAATAACGACATCTAATTACATAGATAATAACAGTTTATATACATAGTTTATTCTAACAATAATATCTAACAATATTTAATATAAGTTTATTGTTGGAGCAAAAATTATGTACAATTTATTATGCTGTGCAAGGAAGTTGTGGTGTCCACATGAGAATTTTTACAATAAATATATCATGTTATGGTATCACAGCAAAGCATATGAAGCTTTCAATCTTGAAATAATACACAATCTTTCCTAAAAACAGGCATGATAAAAACAGGCTTCATAGTTAAAATGTTTCCTGATTTTTTTATTTATTTGTGCGAAGTAAAGAAAGTATTGTAATCATGAAAAAATCCCGGTATCATATTTCAACGAAAGTATCCATTTTAACCGTAATCGGATGCAATTCAACGATACTTTTGCGTGACAGAATGAAGAACTCTTTTTTTTCCAAACGGGAATTATAAAATTAATTTAAAATCGATTCAGAAGAGATTTTTTTGTGACATCTGTACGTACGTACATTTGTGTGTATCTGAAAAACGAGTAACTTCAGAACATTGAAATTTTGTATATAGGACTGCTACAACATATAGTTCTGCACCTTCCTTTTTGGTTGCAATCTGCAGTAACAAAAAGTATATATATATATATATATATTATATATATACCCGTTCTGTTACTCAGCTCAATGAGCTCAATTTTTTTATTTTTATATGTTCGTAAATTGTGTTTTTCTTTGTTTTTAAAAATTATTGAATTATACTATTCTTATTTTCCGGTTAAGGTTTGTATGCCTTTAGTTAACCTGCATATTATAGTTGTAGAATTATCAACAATTTAAAGGTCATTTAAGTACGGCTAAGCCTAATTTTTTTACCCTAGCAGCCATCTGTTTGTTTACAGTTGAAACTTAGCAGAATAGTGGATTTGTTGCTAATCTAGAGAAACTAAGCTTCGCAACAACAAAGACAACGTCTTCTTTTATTACTGCCATTGTAATTATCATTTAATTTATTAAATTATCCCAAATATTGACTCAGAATAGCGTCCACAATAATTTAAGTCAGTTTCTATGCCTTCAGTGTCTTTTGCTGGGGGGGGGGGGGGACCAAAAGGAAACTTTCAGTTTTGTGCACCGGAAAATTTGCCTTCTTGCCTGCTGGTCGAATTCTTGTTTTGCGTAGAAATTCTAATTTTAATTGTTAATTGTTTTACCTATATTTGGTGTTTGTGTTTTTCTATGTCTTTTAATTTTTACTATAGATATTTAGAGTTTTTGTGTATTTTTGGCTTGCAGCGAAGTGAAAACTGAATTAATTGAATGGGAAATATCTCTCTAAACGAAATTCGAGGAAATAAGTGTTTCGTATTAGCAGCAAATATTGTCGCCAGTCTCACTCGGGCAGAGGTGGATTTTTACGAGTAGCGCATGCGTGTTAGTGGCGTTAAATCGAGTAGCGGCGCTAAATCGTCTGTGAAAACTGTTTCTTTTTTTATTTGTTTAATGTCTTTTATGCATTGTTTTAGATTTATTATAGTATTTGAAGAGAACATGTAGCTAACGATTAGATAATTCTTCAGATGATATACTTTTTGTGCATTCTGAGTTGTAAAATGAATGGGATGTAATCCTCTTAAGTGAAACCCAGCGCCAGAGTGTCGCTATGGTAAATAAATATAGTAAATGTTTAAAGAGTGCAATTATTCTCTTGTGGTTTATGCGTTACCGATGAAGTAGAATTCAATACGTGTAAATGAAATGCCGGAAAAAATGAGCATAATTTAAATTTACATACAATGAAGTCATGTGATGTACGCATCATATTTTTTTTGAACTCACAGAGATAGCTTTAAAAGGCAGTGAGTGCAAATTTTCTTTTCCCATTCGAACACTTGCCTAATTATTTAAATTAGGCAATAGCGCCCACCTGAAAGCAACTTTTATAAACAGAATCTTGGATCCAGATTGTCAGTTTGAAATTTTCTACGTTGTATATTGTCCAAGTGAGGTTCCGAATGGTAGTAAGAAGTAGTAAGAAGCAAGCTCAATTAGAACACTAGTAGTAATTAGTTGGTTTGGTTTATTTAATTATGGCAAAGCACACTAGGGCTATCTGCCTAAGGGGAGGGATGCCTTCGTGGGGGACTTTCTAAGGGAAATTTCCTCGTTTACAAGTTACACATTTGGAAAACCACGAAAACACCCATGCAGCCAGCCCGTTCGCGAGATTCGAACCTTTGACCGAACTACCAGTTTTCAGCGACTTTACCGCTCGGCTGCTGGTGGGCAGTAGTAATTTTTAATGCAGTATGAGTTTTCTTGCTAAGTTTTCCAGTGATTACACTGCACGGCTTCCCAGAAATCAAGCCAAGTATGTGATATACAAATTGCAATTTTTCACCAGTTTCCAAGCTAGTTAAAGGCAATTTCGTAGAACCTTTCAAACGAATAGCAATGGATGTTATTTTTAATATTAGCAATGTTCCACCAAGAGTGAATTGTTTTTATGAACTGTGCCGTTTCTGTTGCATGCTGAATTTGATGTTTTGCAGTTACCAAAGCTACAAGTATTTTTTTTTTTGTTAAATATTTGTAACATTAATTGAACATTTTGTCTATCTAAAGTTGAGGGAAATAAGACTTTTATTGACAAATTATAACCGTACTTCAGAAACTCTTCAAATTCAATATCATGCAAATCCTTTAAAGAAAATAACATTTCTGTAAAAACTTTTTATTCTGATTACCATTTGACGGAAGTGGGGGAGAGGAAGACATTGCTTTGTGAGGATGCTTTTGATTCAGCCAATTATTTCTAACGCTTTTAAGTAAATGATTAGTATCATTAAGGAAAAAAAGGGATCTTGATGGATCAACTGAATTAGAAAAGATAAAGTGAACATTTGGAATTTATTATTAATATTTAATGTTACTTTTTGGAATGTGTTATTACAATCTAAAATATATTCAGGAAAAAGTTACACTCAAAGTTTATTATTTAAATTATTCCCACATCACTATGTAATATTTAAATAACAAGTATACCTCTCTCCGTCTATGTGAATCATGTCACAGATTTAAAATAACTTTTTAAATTAGTAAATAAACTGGCAAGAAAATAATCATTCTAAGTAACATAAGTAATGAAACTAATGATAAACATAGAAAAATACAAAACAAAACATATGTTACTATAACATTATTTACTATGTATACTTAAAGTGTAAATGAAGAAATCAATGATAATTTTATAAATGATATCAGGTTATAGAGTTTGACTTTAAATAGTTTAGTAGATAGAGTTTTAGTAGAAATAGTTTAGTAGATAGATTATCAATAGAGTTTGACAGTTAAAATTTATACAGTTAATGATTTCAATTTCAGTCTTATCTCTATGAAAGAGCTCATCTCATGTTTTTCTATTTATTAATACTTCGAGGAGGTACTATTGTTTCCAAATTAACACATAAAAGTGTCCTGGCAAGATAAACTTCGAAGACCTGACCATGCCTCTGAAAGAGCCCAAGTAAGAACGGAAAGAGTTTGCAAATAGCATTTATCATCCATCTTCCTTGGGGAATGTTGCCACTGCGGAGAAGTAGATTTTTAATTTATCTTCTTTGTGCCCTACGGAATAGCAGATTCTCAGATTCTTACCATTTGGCAAAGCAGAAAATTCTTAATTTATGTTTCAAACATAATTATTCTTTAGTGTTTAATAAACTCAACCATTTAAAAGCAATAAACGTTATTTTAATAACAACTAGATTTCATTTAGATTTCATTTTGTTTTTAATAACGCATGTAACTAATCTATGTTAAAATATATTTAATCTGCAATGTAATAAGTTTATAATTATTTATTTATTTACTTTTGTCTGTTTTCGTTGATTTTGTATTTAAAAGGTGATATTTTGCATACTGGAAATTTTACATTTGCTTGGTATGAAATTTGCAGTTGCATTCATATCCTTCTTATGCAAAGTTTGCAGTCTGCATAAGAAAGATCTATTACAGACTTTTTTGAGATGCTTAGAACCTTTGACCAAAATTAAAGGCCAGTCTAAGTTTTGCATTTTGACAATTTGTAATGCTCAAGATTACGTGTGTTCTCTCTATGTAAAGTTAAACAGTCCGAATAAAATGATTGTTCCTCAAAAGCAGTTCAAAGAATTTCTTGAAACTCTTTTAATTGTTTATTTTGTACATATATTCGTCTACAGATGATTAGGCTTGGGAAATTTAAATGTAAGTTATCAGTTCCTTTTCTTTCATCGATGATGGAAACTCTAATGAATGCTAATTACCGTTCGATGAAATTTATCCTTAGAGGTTTATCTGGAGCATTAATTGTTCGAGTAAGCATATCAATATCTTCGTAATGGTATTCCACTTTAAAATTCCTTATTATCTGTAAAAGAAAATAATATTTATAAATAACTGTTACATAAAATTGCTACAGCAATGTAGGTTAGAGAATAAGTATTTTGCAAGTAAATCAAGTTATATCAGTAGAGAAAAAAATCTCAAATTGGCAGTTGGTTTTCACATTCGAATCAATTCTGTAGATAATACTGGTTTTTGGAAGCAAGAAGCATGAAAATTGAACTTCGCCCTTCTCTGAGTTTCAATCACGAAGATGCGTCTATCGTTTGACGCATCAAGCTGGAGTTTGATATGCCAGTTAGACCTGTTAGGCGTTTACACTACAAGAGCACAAACGGAACAATGCAATGATTCCTTACATTTTCACCACTTGAAAGAAGACGTACAAGATCCAGCTGAACAATACCAAATAGTGACGAGTTATAATTTGCCTCATTTCAGTTCACATGTCACCATATAGAATATTAAAATCTCAGAAGCAAGAAATATAAAAAATCAACTATGTCTTCGCCGAAATTTAAACTAAGAATTTTTCCTCTGCTACTGGATGTGCTAACTACTAACCTAATAAAACACACATGAGGAAATATCACTTCCTACAACTTTGTGACAATAAGCTCAAAACTGAGAGCCTGCAATTTATGGATTTAAACTACATTTATGAATGTTTCTTTTCCTAAAATACATTCTATCAACCTATCATTGGAGCTGTGTACATTCAATCCTTAACGAACCGTTACGTATGCAACATAATAACAACAACGTTACGTATGTAAGATAAAAATTTATTTCCTAAACAGTATTAATTAATTGATTATATTAATTCGCACTAAATGGATTTAACCCCTTAACTGCCGCGGGCGTATATATACGCCTTGCTCAGCCGATGCGTTAACTGCCCCAGGCGTATATATACGTCCTTCCAAACTGCTATCATTTGCTTTGCGCTGCTACACCTAAAATTATTCGCAAAGTTAACGCATCGGCTGCGCATCTGGGCGCATCTGGGGCAGTTAACGCATCGGCTGAGCAAGGCGTATATATACGCCCGCGGCAGTTAAGGGGTTAAGTTCATACAACATGTAAGATAAAAATATGTAAATCAGCTTTATAATTTTATGAGGTATTTCTCTTGCCTTCTTAGCGAGCCTCCGTGGTGTAGTGGTCTGCACGCTGAGCGCGTAATTGAGAGGTCCGCGGTTCGATTCTCGGCGAAGGCGTTGCATATTTTTCATCTTGCTTGCTTCCAATTTGCCTAATGGCTCGACACTGGAGCTCCGAACTAAAAGGGGTTGGATGATGGTTCTCCTCATCAAGGATTTGGCGCTTGGGTCCCCTAAAATCCCCAGTCGCCCTTTAAAAGAGGGAGTCCATGAGGTATTTCTCACGCCTTCTTAGCGAGCCTTCGTGGTGTAGTGGTCTGCACGCTCAGCGCGTAATTGAGAGGTCCGCAGTTCGATTTCCGGCGAAGGCGTTGCTAATTTTTCATCTTGCCTGCTTTCAAAAATACCTAATGTCTCTACAATTTAATTTAGAAATAGCCTCTTAATTCCACATTTTTAATTCAGTATATCCTGTCAGTAAAGCAACCTAAACCGAAAACGTCTCTCCGTGAGCCTCTATATTGGATTAATTGCACATTTTAGCTTCTACCTCTCTCCCTGTTAAGACGCTATTTCGCTCTGCTTTCTTTCTGTAGCAACAATATCAAAACTATTAATGTTTTTGAGTAGGCATGAGTAGAGTGCCAAGTAAATTGTGGCTGCAAACAGCAGTTGAAGCAAAATTGAATATTTATCTTTACTCGGCTGCAAAGTTTCCTCTTCGATATGGATCTAGGTTCTACGCCAACAACATTATCGGGTCCTTTCCACCATTATTTTCACAATCGTTGGTCATAGTTGGCCTTTATTTTCACACTCGTTGGTGCTTCGGTATACTCTCATTTACAGAATTGTTTTAAATGACGAAAATTTAAGTAAAAAAATTATTTTTGACAAATAACGAAGTTTAACTTTAATGCAATTTTCCCTTTCTTATACTTATATTTTGGAAAGTTTTATAATCATCAATAAAAAAACAAAAATACAAGTAGTTTGACGACAAAAACTCGCCGGGATATTTAATTTGAAAAAATTTGCAATTATTGTTGTCATTTTCAACTTCCCTTGAGGGTCGGTTAATTAAGTTAGAATAATTCTAAGAAATAAGTTTAAGGGGTGTTCAAACCCCAAAATCTTCAAAAAATTTTGATTTCGGATTTTTGCATTTTCAAATTCTCTACATTTTTATCTTTCTAAAAATACCATTCTTTAATCTCTATGAAAATTAGAACTGTAAAAAATCTAGTTTTAATTTGTCATCTACTGCTTTGATCAATGAGGATTTTTACATAAAAACGCGTTTTTCTCCAAACGCGATATTTTTTATACCTCGATGTACCTTTTCTTAGGAACTACTGCTCACAGGTATCTAAACATTTTATGGCTTATTTATTAGGTTCTTTAATATTTACTGAAATGAGCATTTTGTAATAAACTTAGAAAAGAAAATTTTAATTTTTTTGTGTGAGAAAAGTGCTAAATTTTACTATGCCTAACAAAATATTCTGCATTTAATTTAAAATTCAAAATTTTTCAAAAGCTCATTTCAGTATAATCAAATAGGTATACTTTAATTACAGAAGAAATTTCAAGCTTGTATCTACAGCAGATTTTGATAAAAGGTACATCGAAAATGGCCAATTTGACATTGTCGGTATAGGGGTTTCTGATACTCCTTAAACGAAGTGGGGAAAAAAATGCTAATTTAATAGGTTGCACAATGAAGTCATGTGATGCCTTCAGATTTTGTGAAAACGGTTAGTGACCTTATTTTAAAATAAACAAGCCAGTTATATAAATATTAAGGAAGTGACATTCATTTATGAATGGGGATTTAGCATAAAAGTCATTTTACCTCTGTCATGAGACTTATAGTTTCTAGTTCTGCGAGCCTCCTACCAATACAGCTGCGAGTACCAAAACCAAAAGGGAGGAAGGCATATGGATGATACTTGTCTTCTTTTCCTAGCCATCGTTCAGGGAGAAACTTTTCAGGATTTTTGAAATACTTTTCATCTCTGTAGATTTCTTGGAGAGCCACTGCAATAAGGGTCTGCAAAAAAAGGAGAAAAAAAAATGTTTTGCTTTGAACTCAACCAATTAGTCCTTTAAAAAAAACTATTTATTTTGTGTTTTGCAGAATACCATGTTTATAACATATTTTTAATAGTTATAAATAATCAGCAGGAAAAACTAACTTGCATAATTTTGAAATGTTTTTACAGTACCTCCTAAAAATTCCAAGATGAGATTCTGTGAATGCTGAGACAGCATATGTTTTCTGATATAAACGCACTTTTTTAAACGCAGGTGTCAGGTTCTTCTGCTTGACCAATAACGTTTATTGTATATTGATGGAACATTAAAAGTTTTAAATATTTTCCTTCAATGTAGCGTGCTCTACAATGATAGCAAAATATAAAATTCGGCTGGAAAAATTTCTAATATGAAATGGAAAGACTGCATGTACTTTATTAGACAAACAGAAGGGCCTTTGCGTGCTATTTGTTATCTTTAATGCACATAAAAATATTTATTACCACTATGTTTATCAAAACTGATTGTTTTTACATTATATATTATTTTCTTCCTTCTTTCCGCACTTCGTAGTGTAACTGGAATCACGCTCGATGCGTATTTGGGAAGCTCGAAATTCAAGACCCGGCGAAGACATCGCATATTTTTCATGTTCCTGCATCAAAATAACGTAATGACTTTACAACGTAATGCGGCCATTATGTTCACACAGTAACTTAAATACACCATTGTATTTTAAAGATAGCAACCTATGAATGCTTGACAGAGATCTTAGTGTAAAATTCCACGTATCCGCCGTTTATACATAGCTGAAACTACATAGCTGAAAGGCACATAGCTGAAAGCCTCCCAGACGGTATAGGGGTTAGGGGAGCCTGACTGCGATACCAAAGGGCCCTGGTTCGAAGGCCTGAATGTAAATTGTCCGTCACTTCACAGATGGGAACGGTGGCCACATATTAGGTGCCTCTACAATAAAATGGCCACCACTTCTGGCCTTAGTAGTGGCCAATGCCGTTATAGGCAAGTGCCTGACATTGGATAAAAAAAATCGTTTACAGAAATATTGCTGCAATTCCTCTACTGAGTTCATAAGTGATCTGTATTAACATTTGAAGATTTCCGATTTGAATGCCTGTAGAGAAATGCGTCAAAAACTACGTGGTCTATAGAGCATGCCATCATGTGATAGCACGAAATCCTATGGAAAAAGTTTCTCAGGACTTAATGGTTATTCTTCTTCCGCACAGCACACAGTTACCAGCATAAAGTACAATTAGCTCATTATTGCCGACGTTTTGCATTAGAAACGATAAATAGTCCACTAAGTTCCTTCTGTTTATGTAACAAAAATTATACATATTCGGGCTTATTATACTAGTATCTGTTTTGAATTTGTTGTCATCATTTCAATCAAAATTCAATTCTCTACCTCAAAAATGTTCTCTCCGACCGAGTCCTAAAAGGAAAGAGTAAGAAGCATTTATATCTCACGATGGCAAATCTTTCTTATCTATTCGTCAGCTTTTATAGATATTAAAGTATAAAATGTGCCGCCCAACCAAGGTAGTGTCTAGTGAGTCTGACTGCCGTAACCAAAGGGTTTCGATTCAAATCCCAGAGAAGGCACGGTTATTTCTAAATGTATCGTATCTGTGCGGCATGGGAGCACTCTAACTATACGGCTAAAGTCCTCTCGAGAAGTTGCAGGTAGGGAAAGAGGGGCGGGAGTCCTTCGGTCCCGTCGCCTAGGAAAATTGAGGGGACGAATTGAGTAAAGTCCTGCTGTCACGTGTATGGTTCTCAAGGCTCCAGTTAATAACAGGCACATTTTACTCTCTGCCACTGTGAATGTTGTGGACTTGTGCTGACCATTGTCAGACAAGTGAGATTGGTAACAACAACAAAGAATAAAATAAGAAAATTAAAGCCTAAACTGCAATTATTACTAATGAATTTCAAAGTAAGAAAACAAGAATTATTCTCAGCATTTTGAAGATATGTGACTTTTAAAAAGAGCATAGCACTTAAATAGCCTCTAGAAACCCTAAATAAAATAACGCATAAATTTATTAAAAATATAAACGTTATGTAGAATTTTGCATGCTACTGAATCCATTTCTTGTTACTGTAGCACAAACTTTTGGCTTTAATTTGAAACGAATTAACTTTTATAATAAAAATTTCTCTTATGCATATGAAAAAAGACTCTTTAAATACAACTGAACACATTATATATATATTCGGTACAGGTTTTAGAATTCTCATTTGAAGAATTGTTAAAATAAAAGTTATAGCAGCTTACCCCTGCAGGAACATTGTATCCAGACAGTATCACATCTCTCTCTAACTGTCGAATTGAAACTGCAATAATTGGATGAGTTCTAAAAGGATGTAAAAATTTAAATGTTTTTTCTCACTGTCGAAGCTACTAAATTTAAAAAAAAAATATAATGCATACAGAAGATATTTCTACCTACGCATACAGAAGGATGTTTCTACTTAATATCCTTCTGTATGCGTCACAATGTTATATACGTCAAAATTCGTAATTATAAATTCTCATTTTTATTACATAATAAATATCCTTCTGTATGCGTCACAATGTTATATACGTCAAAATTCGTAATTATAAATTCTCATTTTTATTACATAATAAATTGTTGATTTATCCCATTAAGAAGCTAAGTATTAGCTTTTCCTTTTCTAAAACTCATATTTGCAAGTTTTTCCTTTGTGTACATAATTTACATTTATAAGGTTTTATTAAGAGGAGTTTTAATAAGTAAAATACAAAAATAATTACAGTACTGTTGATTTTTAACACTTCTTTCATAGTATAAGCACCAATTTTTATTTTTATAAACTTTTCGAGCTTTCTTTGAAGGGAAAGCTTTATTTCTTAGGCACAAATTGTGTTTGCAAAACACACATTACAGCTGAATTCGCACCAATTTTTAAGTGGTTATTGCTCTTTATTACCTGCTACATGTTCATAATACTTGTACAACACTATAATTAAGCTGATTAGCATATTGTTACGAATTTTGTATTTAGATAGATAATTATAGTAGAATTATAATTAAAATTGTTGTATTTCCTCCATTCAATGAAGCGCGAGACAAATTGAAAGAGAAAGTTGTGCAGAAAAAGTAATACAGGGCACGTGGCATTTAACATTGAGTAAATTGTTATCTCCGTAATTTGTATTGAGATTGAATAAATGTAATTGACCACTATGTTAGCTGTAACCGTAATGCCATCCTCTTATTGCTTTGCAAAAATCTCGAGAAGCAGAAAGTACTAGAAATTTCTCGCGAATTGTGGAAATCTATAAAAAGCCAGAGAGAGAGCATCTCAGTTCAATCACCTCCGGTGTTGATGTCTTTCAACCCCTTTCAATTGTTTAGTCAGTTCCTTAGTTACTGTTGATGAGAGTTTATTTCCGAGTGAATTGAGAAATCCGAGGTAGTTTTCTTTTCCGATTGCGTTTTATTTAACGTTTTTAGTAGTTTGAAGTATAACTACTGATTATATTGCGTCATATTGTGAACAATTGTACGAATATCTCTGAGGAAAATTCCAGAGTTCTGATATATTTCATTTGATAAGAAGAAATTTTATTGACCTATTATCGGGCTTGTGCATTCAATCTGCTAGGAACCCGTACACACGCAGCAGTATCAAATCTTAGCAGAAATAAAAAGCAGAAATTTTCGCAGAAATAAAAAGACTACTTACCTTTGTGATTCTTTCATGCACGATTTCAAGTATTTCAATTCGCTGAAAACTTTTGGAGTAATTCTGTGATTCTTCGATGGAAGCAATTTGGAGATTTCTTCGTATAAAACTTGCTGTTTATCTGGATTCTTAGCCAAATTATACAGAAGAAAACCCATAGAATTTGCTGTCTGTAAGAAAAATAATAATTCAAAATAACTAAAAATAATAATAAAAAAAAATCTGCAAGCCTTCAAATTTTACATTACGTTCAAAGGGGCGGTATTTTTTCCTTTTTGTGATAGCTTACCGATTACCATTGGAAATGGTATTAGTGGCTTGGTTTCTGTACTACCGCCTTTTAAGTTTTATTGATGACTGTTAACTATTCTGTTCTTCCATATAACGGAAAATGGTAACTAAACGTACTCATGTACATATCCGTTCCCATGCTTTGATTTGAAAAGATTCCATCGATCGGATCGTCGTATATCCTCTGGTAATAAAGTGTATGGGATTCGTCTGTAACTCGAGTTTCATATATTGAACTTCTTCGGCGAATTAACTACCTTTTGAAACATCTAAACGGATACTGAAAACCTTTTGCCGAGACCGTTTTACATTCTTAGTCGTATTTCAAAGTCCGAAAAATGGCATCGAGTACATGATCGGTATTGAGGTTCTGTTTTGCGTACAAGACAGCGAATCTAACTTTATCTTGCACGTAGGCCACAGCCATTTTTTACATCGTTATAATTCTTTCTGAAATATTTCACATACATCAAACAGCATATCTTTAGAATTTCTGGTAGATGTCTTGGGCACTGAAGATAAGAATGTGGTTTATTTTTTCGTACAGTTTTGCCACTGCTCGCTTTGAAATTGTTGAGCTTGCTAATCAAAAATTCGTTAAAGCTTTACAAAATATGAAATGGATAATGAAACAAATTCTAAATTCAAAATTCGAGCGTTCAGGAGCCCATTTTCGTGGGGAGGATGACGTTATTCAAAATTTGATGGCTCTGGGTAACGTCGTTTCTTCACAATGCGAGATACATGCATACATTCATGCACATTATTCATTATTTATTTAGTTTAATTACTTTAATTAATTAATACATGGTGATAATATTTGGTGGCCACAATTTAAAAAGGGATTCGCCCTTTATAGCGAAATGCCACAAAATGCCAATGAGACTAATAGCCCTTCTGGGCTATCGTCCGTTTGGGCTAAGAAGTTGCATTTACATAAATTCTTTAGCTTGCTTTTATTCAGAATAACGTTGACTTCGAAACAAGAGATTAAAAAAGTTTAAAAAAATGTTCGTTTCCTCCGAGGAAGAGACATTTCTTTACTCAAATTTGTGGTTTAACTTTTAGCACATCGGTAGGAAAATTCGAAGATTCTCAGCTTGATTACGGATGCTTACACGGCCAGTTTTTCTATAATTCCTTATTCTCAAACAACTGTCGTCTCCACCTTTAGTGACCAAACCAAAATGATGTGGGATAATTCATCAACAAACCTGAACTTGGTAACTGGGGTTGGGGAAGGGGTTGGGGAAGGTTGGGGAAGTCGTTTACAGATAGGAAAATGCGGGGAATAAAAACGTGTTTTTCTCATGTCTTTTTGGCGTCTAACATTCAGCATCTCGATCCGGTAAACTCCCAAATTTTACTCCGATCATGGTTATTATTATCATCATGGTCATGGTTTATTATTATCATTTAACTTAAATCATGGCTTATTTTCAACAATTCCTTGCTTCTGGTTACCACTCTGTAGGGTTTTTATGTCTGTTAACCACATATCTTAAAATTTGCGCTGCTTTAATTTTGACTTCTACTTTCGTTAGTTTCCACCAAGATGCAATTTAGTTAATATATATATATATATAGCAATAATAAGAGCAAAACAAGGAAAAGCCGGAGCAGAACACTGTAGATGCGTGATTAGATCCATATTGAAGACGAAATTTGATTGCGTAGTATTTAAAGAACTTGGCAGTCGAGGCAGTTTTAATTCCATTTTTATTTCCAGTTGATATTTGTGGCCACAATCACTTGGCACTCTAGTCGTGCCTTTCCACAGAAGATTTACATTTTTGATATTGTTGGGATAGAAAGCAAGCCAGCGAAATTACATCTTAGGACAGTAGAGAGCAAAAGCTGAAGTGCGTAGTATGCAAGATGGAGGCACGTGAAGAGAAAAGTTTGGTTTACAAGGACGTTTCAGTTCCCAATGATATACGTCATCAGAGCTGCGCCCGATCATAGAGTGATCTAAAATGACGCAATGCAAAGAATTATTACGATTTTAGAATAGAGAGGAAGATTAATGTTTATAGTTTAATCTATAATTTTGATTCATACATTTTCATCTTACATATATATATATATATAAGGCTAGAGTTCTTGATTTTGAAAAGTAAGCTTTTGGCAGCTGCCATTGAATTTCTCAATTACTATTTCTAAACTTACTTGAATCAGCTTTAACCTTTGTTAGTCGTGTTTGTTCGTTTAAATTGAAGGTCTAAGACAAAACCTTAAGGAGGCATTGCCTTGTGAATGTAATATTTTAAATAATTAAGTTTAACTTTCTTTTCTATTAACACCACAAGTCGCGGAGCCTTAGGTTATTAGACGAGCTGTGTAAATTGTTAACCTGAATATCTAATAAAAATGTAATAAAAATATTTATTTTAAACCTTTTGTGTCAGCAGTTCTTTTACTGAAAGACTGAGTAGGGGCGATGAGTGTCTATGGGAAGCCAAAATAGTCAGGATCAAGAAAAAATAGAAAAGATTATATGGGAAGAAATGTAAAAATTCATCTCTGCACATATCTGTAATCGTTTAGACTTGAGTTATGGATCGTAATAAATCGTAAATCTTGAATCATCGATCTTAGTGGACGAAAACTGAATCATGGATCTTTGTGGACAGATAAATGAATCATCAATCTTTGGTGGACGATAATTCATCATCATCTGGATTTAGCTGATTAGTTTTGTGTCTTTTCCCAGTAGTCTTTACCAGTCTCGCAATGACGAGGATAGTGTAAGGAAGCTATACTAATTCAGAAGTCAAACAACAAAAATCAGCGTTATATTTTCAAAATTTTCACAGGACCTAGTTTCGATGGTTTTACCGAACCACCATCCTCAGCTGCAAAACCGAAAATGAACAAGATAGGAAATAGTGATTAGATAAGATAAGAAAGCCTGGGCAAGAATAAGCAAGTGGCGCCATCTGTTGGTGAAACCAGAACTAAAACATAATTTCTTTATAGGCCAAAGGCAAATTTCTTTATAGGCCTTTGTTACTGTGTCTCAAGGAAGCTATAGTATAAGGAAATGGTCTCAAACTCAAATTGCATTGCGGGCCGAATGCACGATTGAAAACAGTTAACGGGTCTGGCTTTTTTTTAACAAAATAAAAAAATCATTTTAAATAAATCTTAAATTTCGCTTACTGAATATTTATCAAAGCATATACAATCAATAAAAACAATATCGTAAATCAAAAATATTCAGCTTTATAATTATTTTCTATCTTCTAAAATTTGGTATCTATTAAGCATTTTTGTTGGTTACAATTTTTAATTTAAGCACATTGACAGCTAAGTATAAAGTTCTAAGACTAATAAATTAAATATCTGAGTATAATTGAACATATTGTAATAATTTTAGCATGTTTATGTAACACGTTTAAATAATCATTTAATAACTTACAATAAATTAAACTTAAATCGGAAAGATGATAAGAACTTGTATTTTTAGAAAAAAATTACCTAGTGGGACGAAACTTGAATGTAAATAAGTAATAACAACCTAGCCTCTTACTTATTAAATTTTTCTTCAACGCCTAAATAAAAATACATTTGTTGGTATGTAAATAATTTAAACTTCTTTATGTCTTGGCACTTGATAGCATTTCGATTCTGATGAAGTTTTTTATTTTAGGAAAGGAGTTACTAAAAATGATATTCATCCGGATTGTAGATAGTCATCGATCAATCTGGTTCATTTCTTATTAATTTTCAACTGTGAAGAAAAAGCTGCTCGTATATAAACATTTATATCGCATTATAAATTAAGTAACTCATTTGCAGAGTTCTTCTTCTAATCCTTTTTCATGTTCGTCTATAACAGAAATGAAAATAATATAAACTCAAGCTTTAAATAACTAAGATATTTAAAATTTTGCAGCACTACTTTTCCAACAACTACATAATTATAATCTATTCGCGAGCAGCATAAAATTGCGTCGGGGTTCTCATGCGGATCTCAGGTCGCCAATTTGAGACCATGTGTATAAGGAATTATATTTTTTATTATCTTGCGCATGCTCTTATGATGTAGCGAGTAATACACCCCTTTAGTAATTGGGAGAACCATGATTTCTTTCCCTCAGATCATAGTTGAAAACCCCTTGAATTACCTCCGACTAAATTTTTGTTTTCAATATTTTCAAAAACTGAAATTTACTTGTAAAACTGAAATTTGCTGTACTTTTAAAATTTGGACTTATACGTTCTTTATTTTCCACACTTATTTCAAAACAAAAATAACTCAGCCCATTAAAAAATTACCTTAATTTCAAAACGATTTCCTCCCTTGAATTTTATATTCCATTGGGTTGAGTTTTCAAACTTCTATCCCAGGTTTCGAACACGGTAGCGCAGTAAGCTCTCCTAATCACAATACCATCTGGGCGGTATTCTGAAAATCTAGTAGCCACATTATGTTCTCTAAACTCTTCAAAAGCTGAAAGTGGGATTACAGTATTTTCAGTGGTGCCCTAACTGTATCAAGAAACTGAGAGAAGTATTGAAAAAAAAATCAAACAACTGTTTTTCTGAAAAGCTTGTCGATAATAAACTGTGTTAAAGGGCTATTGCTACTTCGTTTCATCATTGATTGCTGTAGCGTGAATCCTAGTATTACGTCTAAGCAGGTAGAGAACTTTGAATTTAAAGCTAGTAAATGGAATATAAAATGCAAGGAAAGAAGCCATTTTTTAGTTAAGATAATTTTTCTAATGGGCTTCTCTATTGTTATTTTGAAATAGGCGTGCAAAATAGAGGAACTCAGAAGTCCAAATTTTTAGAGCAGAGCAAATGCCGGCTTAGCTTGACTAATTTAGAAACCACAATTGGAAATTTAATTGAAGAACAGCAGTAGAAATCGTCTCACTAACATTATACTTTAAATAAACAAAAATTACAGATATTTAATTTTGTAGTAATCAGAGAATTTATTTATTTTTGCTTTGCTTCTATATGCAATGATTTTGTGATTTAATTTTGCATGGTTTTTCTCCCTGATGTAGTCGAATGCCTAAACACAATAGACTACCTGAAGGGACATCCTGAATCCGATGCGCAGTTACTTGGAGGACCGCTGGGTACCAGTCATAATGGACAATGACATAATCAAAGTCAAGCTGGAGATGGGATGTCTGCAGGGGTCCAGCTTGTAACTTACTCTGTGAAATCATATAGGGATCACAATAGTTGCAATCTACGAAACTCAACAAGGTGTGGGAATCCAGGCTTACACTGACGGCTTCCTGTAGGTCATAGCTGTAAATAATGACATTAGGCTGAAAGCGCAAAAGGCGATCAAGGCCTTTGCATGCTATGCAAGACAGTACAAATTAACAATTTCGGAGGAAAAGAAACTAAACAGCTATCTGTATATATATATGTGTGTGTAGGAAAGGGTTGCAGAATAAAAATCCTAGTATCAAGTTAAATAGAATCTCTATCAAAGAAGTCTGCAACTTTAAATATTTACGAATTACAATACAATTTTTCTTCTTTCCTGGTTTTAAAAAAATTTTAACGGCCTTTACAAGCGGCTTCCGAATTAAAAGGTAGTGGACAATAACTCGTCATCACCAGGGTTGGCGACTGGATGTCTCCGTTTGAGTGATTGTGTATCTCTCCAGTCTTCCTTTAACTGGGGGAAAGTGAAAGGTTTTTCTCCCGCCTTACCGCGTGGCTTTGTGGCGTAACTGAAAGCAGGTTCAGCTAGCAATCAGAAAGTCCAGAGTTTGATTCACAGAGAGAGCACAATATTTTTCACATTTCCTTGTAGAGTTCCTCACTTTGTAATTCTAAGTTAATGTTGGAAGTGAAGAATCTTAAGAACTGATAAGCGAATAATCGCTCAAGTTCGGGTGACAAGAAACAACAAGATGGAAGGTAACTAACCCTTTTTATTCCAATGAGATTAACAAAACTCCGCCTGGAGTGTAAACAAACCCATTTGGGCTGAACTTAAGAGACTAAGAATTAAACTAAAACTAAGATTAATTAAAGAAATATAGCCGAAGCTATCAAGATTCAAATCGAGTTGGCCCCTTAACTTATTTATCGAAGCTTAAGGGCCTGAGTACGGCCGAGCGTAATAACAGCTTTGAGAGAGAGAGAGAGAGGGCAACAAGGCAGACGCGCGTAAATCAGAAACTCTGATTCTCTCTCACTCTGTAAGTAACTTCGGGGTTTAAATACCGCTCCTCCTCATTAAATATTCAACAAGATTCCAAAACTACGTTCTGGCCGGAAGTAGTAAGTTGAAGTTAAGAATTTGACAGAAAAGGAACTTAAAATTTAACTGTTAATAAAATTAACATAATCCTTACATCCTGGCTTCGAAACCATTCTAATTGTCTGTACAAAATAACTCGTGCGTGAGAGGTTTTTGCTGTATGATGCGCTTTTCTAACGCCTACTGAATTAGTCCAATGTTATTACTGGGACTGAAATTCTAATTATTTGCATAACACTTCAAACGATGTTTGCATGCCTCGTTTCGAGGCTGTAGCTCATGGTTTTACGAGTGCATACATTTTATTACAATAGAGGATACTCATAACAAGTGAAATGACACCTCCTTCAGAGAAAGAAGTAAGTGTCGATATGTTTTAAATGTACGAAATCTGTGTTAAAATATTTGGTGAACTAATAAAAAGTATTTCACATATTTCCACTGAATATTTGGAAGGAAGATATAACACATTACACATTTTTTTAGGATTTTAAAAGGCAATTTCTAAAACATTTTTTAAAATCATGTTCACTTTAATACTCATACCGTATCAATGCCGGCCGTAAGCATGTCTGCAACTGTAACCATCGCACCTGAGGCATCTAGTCCTTCAGTGGAAAGCATGGCTTGAAGTAAAGTTAATTCTTTATCTTCGTTTTCTTCATTTTTTTTCAATTCTTCTAAAGCCTTATGTACTTAAAAGTGATTCTGAAAAAAAAAAAAAAAAAAAAAAAATAATGAATAAAGTAAAAATTCGCATCAAAGAGGATCTTTTGATTTACATAAAAAATACAGTTCTCTAAGCTAATTTGCAATTTATGAGCTAGCACATCTCCAACGTTTTAAGAAACCACATGCATGGTTTTCAAGATAATTTTTTAACAGGTATTTAACAGGTAGCAGGATAATAGCCTGCAGTTAAATGGTTTCTCCCCAATATAAGGAGATTATTTGCATGCAAGTGAAACTTCTGCTTCTTTTCCAATGTGCCAGAAACATTAAAAGCGGAAATACTCATTCTTAATAATGTGCTACCTCAGGTATCTCTTTCTAGTTCCTTGCACGAAGTAAACAAAGAATTATAATTGCACGAAAATTCGGGTATCCATATTTCAACGAAAATATTCATTTTTACCACTCTCGAATCCATTTGAACGATTTTGGGGGGGGTGACATTTGTACGTACCGACAGAATAAAGGACTGTTTTTTTCCCCCAAAACGGACTCCAAAAGGGATTTAAAATAAATTCAAAAAATATTTTTTTTTCTTGACATCTGGATGTACACTGCAGGGGGGGTAAGACAGTTCTATATTTCCCGTTCTACTCTGCCGATTGACAAAATTCAAATTGCGTTTTTCATGTCTCGAATTTCATGTCTTAAGATATATATTAGATTTATATATAGCATTTTTCTAACATAGGTATTTTGACACAAAATTGGACGTTTTCTGAAATAACATAACACATTTTTTTTTTCTATATTTCGATTCTACGACTCAAATTGTACCTAGATATTAAATTTTGTAAAATTTGTTGCGAAATTTAAGAAATTCAACAATTTACCTTGGCACAAATTTTTTTTCAGTTTGCGCCTTTACTTCGCGAACTTCTTAATATATGACAATCAATTTTCCTTTCCCTTCCTTTATGCCGGAGTGGGAGAAAAAAAGGCACCTTGTTCCTACCTTTTTACATTGTGCATGAGCGGAGAAAAGTCACATCGTTCTACTTTCAAATAATTTTAGTAGAGTGTCTAAACCACATTTGATGTTTTATCGCTTTCATTAAATATGCCAAATTTCAAAACGCGCCAATATAAATTCACGTATATTTTCGGAAATTTTGATAAAAAACTGTAATTTTTTGCAGGTATGCTTAGAAATACGTTTACTTTAAGATGATGGTAAACATTTCATAGATTATAATTGAAAAATGTTTTTTGAAAAATTTATCAAAATGATTTAAAAGTATAAATTTTAAAAATAATTCATAAAAAATGGGTGAATTTTATTTGGAATGAGCCTAAATTTCAAAATGTGAAGGAAAGAATCAAAAAAGTTTTAAAAAAAAGGGATATTAATAAATATATAAAATTTTGAGAGCTAATTTTTTAAAAACTACTCGTGCTATTTTTACAAAACTTGATAGTTTGGCGTAATTTGAGTCGTAGAATTGAAATATGGAAAAATATCGGTATATTATTTCAGAAAAAGTCCGATTTTTTATCAAAATACCTATATTAGAACAATGCTATATATAAATCTAATACATATCCTAAGTCGCACTTTCGAGACGAAAAACGCAAAATGAATTTCGCCAATCGGCTCAGTAGAACGAGAGATATAGAACTGCCCCCCCTTATTTTTTCGCAGTCCATGTATGTATGTATCTCGCATAACTGAAACCCAGTTAGCCGTAAAAAGTTGAAATTTTGGACGGGACTGCAAATAGCCTATCGTTGCGCCCCTCCCTTTTTTATTGCAATCAGCGGCACCAAATGTATATATATATATATATTCGGTCTTACATGTTCGTAAATTGTGCATTTTGTGCTTTAAAAGTTATTATGTTGTTCCGGTTATAGTTTTTATACCTTTAATTAGAATTCATGCAATAGTTGTAGAATTATGAAAAATTTAATAGCGTAGCTGGCGAACTTGGAGGCTATTTGTTTGCATTTGTAACTCTTGGTAGTAGAGTGAATTAATTCAGCTGTTGCACCAGCGTCTTTTTGCCCAGTGTGACTAGTAAATAACTTTAAATTTCTGTTCACCGAAAATTTTGTCTTTCTGCTCGTTGGCAAAAATGCTTGTGTTTTTCGTAGAAATTTAAATTCTAAATGGATTTTTTTTTTCTGTCTATATTTGTATTTGGTGTTTTAGGTTTTATTATTTATATTACGATTTTAATGAAGATGTTTTCAGTTTTTATATATTTTTACTTTGCCGCGAAGGGAGAACTGAACTTATTGGCTCAGAAAAACATCGCTAATAAAATTCGAGGAAATAAATTTTAATGAAGTACAGCATAAACTGTGTATAATTTAATAGGCCATACTGCGAAGTGATGTGGTATCTTTATCATATTTTTAAATTTTAAATTAAATTAAATTTCCGTCCTGTTTCAGAATTTTACGGCTTCAACAATAAACATATCTTTTAACCTAAAGTACCCACGGAAAGTTTACTTTTTTAGGCGGAAGGAGGTTTTATCCTTTAATTTTTCTTTAGTTTTCATTAAGGAAAAAAAGTGTCCTATTTGAGACTTTGAAATAGTTATTTAACCTTTTTACAGATTATTTTTTACATTAGCTGATAATTATTGAAACAATATTCATTTGTATGATTTCAATAGTTTGGTGAAAATGACGGAATGTTTGTTCATTGGCATAAAATCCTTAAAAATAAACAAATATAAAAATAATACATCAAGATGTGGATTATTATTTTACACAATTCATCAAAATGTTAATTTTTTTAGTTCAAATTGAGTAGACTTACTCTGTGAAAATATCGCATTCCCGGGTAAATTTCTTCCATGTTGGTGTGGGAAAATACTTCCACAACTGAATATTCCCTAAAAACGCTTCTAATTTGTTCATGCATTCGAACTGCGTCTGAACAGATCTGATCATTTTCATACCGTCTGAATCCGGCGGTAGATTGGTTTTCAAGCAACCAAGCCTCGTATCCAAGCCAACGAAAGCAACGGCTGTTAAGACAAAGATAATTGTTAAATTAATTTTAAAAATAAATCTTTCTATTAATTTAAACATATATCTTAACTCATTTAAAGTACTGAAGATGGGAACAGCAAACGTACACAATATTAAATGTCAAAGTGAATATAATGATGTTATCCTCATTTTAAATACTATAAATTAAGAGTTGGAAGCCATCTGTTTTAATATTAATATTTTATTTTATTAACTTAAATTTTAAAAGATATTAAAAATAGTTAAAAAACAACTCTTTGGATAACCTGTGGTTTGATTGATTTATATGATTACGGCAAAGTGCATGAGGGCTATATACCTAAGGGAAGGGATGCCTTCCTGGGAAAACTGACTTGTATACAGGCTACCCATAGGAAAAACCACGAAAACTCACATGCAGCAATCCCATTCGCTGGGATTCGAACTTCGGACCGAACTACTAGTGTTTATACACATCGCTCGGCCACTGGATAAATTATGGAGCTTTAAATTTAAATACATGTATCAAAAAGCCCTATACCGACAATGTTAAATTGGCCATTTTCCATGTACTTTTTCTCAAAATCTGCTGTAGATACAAGCTTGAAATTTTTTCTGTAATTATACCTATCATATGATACTGAATTTCTGTATACCTATTTCTGTATACCTATCATATAGAATTCTGCATACCTATCATATTATACTGAATAATTTCTGTATACCTATCATATTATACTGAAATGAGCTTTTGAAGCATTTTGAATTTTATAGTAAATTACAGAATATTTTGTTAGTCATAGTAAAATTCAGCACTTTTCTCACACAAAAAAATTTTAATTTTTTTTTCTAATTTTATTACAAAAAGCTCATTTCAGTAAATATTAGGGAACTTAATAAATAAGCCATAAAATGTTTAGATACCTGTGAGCAGTAGTTCCTGAGAAAAGGTACATCGAGTATAAAAAAAATCACGTTTGGAGAAAAACGCGTTTTTATGTAAAAATCCTCAATGATCAAAGCAGTAGATGACAAATTAAAACTAGATTTTTTTTACAGTTCTAATTTTCATAGAGATTAAAGAATGGTAGTATTTTTAGAAAGATAAAAGTGTAGAGAATTTGAAAATGCAAAAATTCGAAATCACAATTTTTTGAAGATTTTGGGGTTCCACCACCCCTTAAAAATAAATTTCTTTGATTAGAAGTGTATTTCCTTATTTGTCAGCATTTCTTTAATTTATCTGAACTAAGTCTAACTCTCTTTCAGAAGATTTTATATGTTAAGGCAATTCTCAACTTTAATATTAGTGCTGCATGGATTAGATAAACTAAGTGTTTAGATTAAAAATATCAAAATCAAAGACTTAGCGACAATTCTTATATACTTGACCTTCGAAGCAGCGAAGTATATATGTATATGTGTCTGTGCATGTATATGAGTGTATAATGACGAAACACACTTTGAAATAATGATGTTGTAGAAATACTGATTGCACAGAATGTTGATCCATAATGAAGCAGCCGATGCAGATTAAATAATCTTCTTTATTCAATTGACATTTACGGCCACAATTCACTTGGCACTTTAATCGTGCCTATTCAAAAGCAAATACATTTTCGATATTGCTGGGACAGGAAGAGAATACGTAGGCAGCGTCTTAAGCGAGAACTGAGGTAAAAGTAAGAATACGCCACTATCCAATATGGCGGCTTTTTAAGAGAAAGTTCGGTTTAAGTTCCGAATTACATACGTCATCTGCGGTATGCAAGTCATGTGATATGGAATGATCTAGAAATGACTCAGTCCAGAAATAATTGTTACTGTTTATAGAACAGAGAGAAGTTATTGTTAATTTAAATTATAATTTTGCTTTTAATATTTGATCTCAAATATATGTGTATATCTATGTACAATACAAAGTAGCAAATAATTTTTTGCGATCTTTTCCGAATCGTACAGATTCCAATGATTTTTGTTACTTCTTTTGTAACAATTATTACAGATTTTTAAAAAACTCTTGACATGATATATTTAAAGTGTTGTTTTGTGCTATTTTGCTTGTTATTTTTCTGCTTTTAATTGAACATTTTTAATGGCATTTTTCTTTCATGAATTTCTTTATTGGTATACTGTAATGAATCTGCATTATGATTTCAAGTCAAATTTTCACCATGTGCCTGTTATGTTTTTAGCCATGCAGGGATTTATTACGCTGAATGAACAATAGCTACATTTTATACAATGTTATGAGATTTAATTATTTTAAATGCAACTTTTATTATTTTTTCCCTTTTCCATTGTGTAACTCAGAAACATGACAATTCTGTTACATTATTTAATGGCACCAACCCTGAACAGTTATTATGAAATACGTAACAATTTATTTCACATTTCTTGAAATATTTTTTATTACCATTTTTTCTAATACTTAACTATACCAAGCTCTTACTGATCCGAGAAAAATTGTAATTTTTTTCCATTATTTTGTATTATTGCTACTAAACTGACTGTAGCTTTTCCCGTGTTGCTTGGTTAATGGACGTTTTTTAACTTGTTTCAGTTACTTATATATCAGTATATAAGTATAATATATATAAGCAATTATCTCTCTCTCTCTATATATATAGAGAGAGAGAGAGACGGAGAGAGAGGGGGACAAAATTAAGAAAGAGGATAATTATAACGCTACTTTGGCTTATCATAGGTTAGGTTAGTTAATTACGGCAAAGCCTCGAGGGCTCTCTGCCTTAGGGGAGGGATGCCTTCGTGGAGGGCTTTCTAAGGGAAACTGGCTCGTATACACGTTACACATGGGGAAAACCACGAAAACACCCATGCAGCCAGCCCGTTCGCGGGATTCGAACCTCGGTCCGAACTACCAGTGTTCAGCGACTTTACCGCTCGGCCGCTGGTGGGCTGGCTTATCATAGAATAGATAGAAGCGGGTTATAGAATAGATGGAAATAGATGACAGAAATGGATCTTTGAGTATTGTACTGTTGTTTTATTGTGGTTTAACTGACTGCTTATATATTCAGGCAGATAACATACATTTAAGAATATCAAATTTATATGTAGAAATATTGCTTTATAATGAATACTCCAAAAATATTTTTCAGAAAGACAATTTAAGGGGGGAAATTATTGTGTGATATTCATGTTAAAAGAATACTTTCGTCTTTAAATTCATAAGGTATTCTCTCCCTCCTTTCTGCATGTCTCTGTGGTGTAACGTAGCACATTCGGCGCGGATTTGATAGGTCTGAGGTTCGAGTCCTGGAGAGAGCATTGCTCATTTTTTATGTGTCTCCAGCATAAATAACATAATGTTCTACATAAGCTACCGAACTAAGAAAAGGGGAATGGATGATGATTCTTCACCGCCAGGATTTGGCGAATGGGACCCCTAATCTCCAGTCACCCTTTAAAAGTGGAGTATATAAGGTATTTTGTCCACGAACCTCTGGAATACCGGCCCTGCGGATACATTGTAGTTATCAAGAGGAGGTAATCAGATTCAATTTGATCCTTCCTCCCAGGAAAACCACTGCGTTTCTATTCATCCAAAATTAGCTGATGAACTATCCTACATTTCTTAATTATAAAAGTTCAGCAGAAAATTTTGAATGCTTCTCCTTTTTGGACAGATGACACTCCACACCACTGAACGAAGCCGAGGAGACGAGGCCGGCAAAAGACGTGCGGGGCAGACGATGTTGGGAAGATGAACATCTCCAGAATATAATACTTATCATCTTATACATATTGTTTTCCTCCTGTTTCACATGAGTAATCACTTTTAAATAACCACCATTAAAACTCATTTAATTATTCACTTAAAAAGTATTGTTTGTATTCCCCCAGATGCCAACAGACAAGCCTAATTCTGCGACGAGAATATCAAGATGTATATAGTATATATATATACGGGGAATGGGGAGATATACGAGGAACAGAGAAATTGAAACGGGGAAATTGAGAGTTGGTTCCAATTAATATTTGGATCTTTTTAATAAATAAAACATTTATTGGCAATCAGTCTCAATGCCCTGTTTGACGAAACGCGCTCTGGAATTATCAGAGTTCGAAGCTCACCATGCATTTCCCTTGAAAAGTCCATGGTGATATTCGAATTAGGCTAATTTTTACATTTATTGCTGCTTAGTTGTAGTTATTGTTTTCTAACATGATGTTTTTGTTGCATTTTTAATATGTTTTTAGATAGCTTAAACTTTATTCTACATACATATTAACTTTTAAGTTTGAATCAAGTTAAGCTTTCACCTTTTTTTAATTTCCTTAATTAGTATTTCATTCATATTGTGTTTTTACATTTTGAATTACAACTGGATCTTTACTTTATGTTTATACTACTTTGCTAAGGAACCGAAATATCACTTTAATCATAGGCAATGGATTGAAGAATTTACTTTTTAAGAATAGTATATATATATATGTATATATATATATATGAACAGAGAATTGAGACTATTAAAATTTCCAAGACACTTTGTCTAAATTTAAAAAAAGTTTTAGCGAAAAAGTTTCAATTGTCTGTTTCGGCGAAACGCGTAATGGGGTTAGCTTGATTCGACGTTCAAATAAATGAAATTTCCCTTGAAAAGCCAGTTTGGAAGTCGAATTGGGCTAATTTACCATTTTCCGCTTACTTTTTATCTGTTTCTGTTTTTTTAATGTTTTACATGTCTAATGGTTTGATTTTCATATGTATTAATTTTTTTAAAACGTGTTGAACCTTTTGGAGCAGCAGCTCTTGGTAACTTTTAGGCGAGCTTACTACAATTTTTATGTTTTACTTATTTTGCAGCATATTGCGCAAGATGTTTTCTAGACCAAAATTGGTTTTTTTTTTAAAAATTATAATTACTACTTTGCTTGATATATATATATAAATGGAGAGATTATCTCTTCGGAAAATGTAGAGTAAAGTTTTTTTATGAAGGCGATAAATAATGCTGTATGTTTATCACATAAAATGGTTGTACAAAAATTATCACTATTCAAACTTGTGGATTGCATAAAATTTTATATTAAAGCTCTGCTTAGTTATCGTATGTTTTTCAAATATCTCAACGTCACACATTCAGTATTTCAGAATGAAACTCTCATGATAATCAAGGATAACATGCTTACATTCGAGTGCCCATTTGTATATTTCTCCAAGGAGATCAGGAACTTCTTTATTGGAATCTCTAGTTTCATATACCTTTTGAACGAAATCTCTTGCCACATCTTGCATTGCTCCTAAATATGCCTGAATAGCCTTTGGTTTCAAGAGATGTTTCTGAGTTTTGGAACGCAAATCATGCCATTCCTTGCCTTGCCTGAAAATGAATTTTTCTTAGTTATTACAAAACTTACAACTATCCAGTATTTTATTACAACCGCAGCAAAATATAAGTGCCGTCAAGCAATCTGATGATGAATGAGAAATATATTTCAGTCGAAACAATGTTTCTGAATGAAAAAATAATCATTTTTCAGGAAGGGAGAAAAAAAGAAGAAAATAAAGTACTTCTAACTTATTTACAATTCTTCAACACAATGAAATTTTCACAAGCAAATACTCGTATATTTCATAAACGCAATATTTATGCATTTTTGTTTAAATTTAGAGGGTCAACTTAAAGAGGCTCGATCGAGTCTAATTAGAGGAAATCAGTTAAATTAAAAACGTCTTAATTTACTAAATATGCAAAAGGATATTTGAATTTGAAGTTGTAGTAGAGCCCTAGAAAAATACAGTTAAAAGAAAAAATCCTGAAACGTATCATTAAAAATTTTAGAAACTGTCTTTAGCTGTTAGTTTTACTTAATCGCAAAGACCGGAATCGATTTCCTTAAATCGATTTATGGATTTTCGCAATTTTAGTTGCTTTAAAGTTTTCACTGTCATTTGCATTGTTTTTGGCCACTTTAAGGCAAATAAACAACACTTCTTCTTGCCTACGATGAATCCATTGTAGGGATTTTCTAGAACCCAGTTCGCAAGACTTTCCTTCAGGGTGGTCCATTTCGTTACTCCTTTCCTCAAAGCATATTTTTTCTTTGGCATTTTAATTATTGTGATTTAATTTTTCTTCCACTCGCTTGCGGAGCTTTACCAACACCAAACATCCTTGCTGCAACATTATCTCCAAATTTTTTGCAAACTGAATGACTTTGCATTTCAAACCAGCACTGTGTTTTTTCCCTAAGTGTTCCCTAAGTACTGTGTTTATTTCTACTAAGAAAAACACGAGATCAACTATATTTCAAGTAAAGCAGATGCGAGTTAATAAACCCTTCGATGTTCACTTCAAAATCACGGCTTCGAACTACCATAGAAAGAGAAAACATCTGATTCCTAATTCCTCTAATTCATTCGGGTAGGAAGTGCATTCTTACTCCAGATTTTGCCCTCCTTTTCTCGAAACCCTAGAATAACATTCTTGTGCGCAACGCCATTGAATACAATCTACCCACTTTGCAGAATGCTTTACTCTCTCAAGCATTCCCCCCCCCACACACATATTGTTTCACTTATCGTTTGTCAGTGCAGTATACCAATGTTAGAAAGTCTAGAAAAAATGTTCGAATGAATAACTTCAGTAGATAAGAGCGTTGTACGTGTATATTTGAGATTTTTTCGTAAAAAAGGAGTGCACATTATAAAGCGAATGTACCTAGAAATCAAAAAATGTAGTTTAAAATTATAGGTGCTCCCTATACATCGATATTTACGGTACTTCATTTATCCTTTAATATCCTCTAATAAAATAATATGCGAATTTGTAAATTTTGTGATGATGATCAGTTTTTTGTGCTAATGTTTCGACGGTATCAGCAATATCCCGAGAGTTAATTTCCAAATTCGAGACCTGATCTACTCTTTTGATATTTTAGTTCAAAAGCAATTTTTTCAATGCTATGAAGAATTATAGAAACAATTTGCTTATATGTATTTGTTTATTATTTTTTTAATAAATTCGAGATATTTTCCCTCCATAATTTTTTTAATATTTTAATATACGAAATAGCTCCGGTCAAAAATTGTTTTTAGTTAAATTTTTTTCCTATTGATTTTTCAGTGCTATTCATATTTTTTAAAAATAAATTTCTTTTAATCTATTTATTATATTTAGTGAGTGATTTTTTTCCTTTAGATTTTCTTTAGTAATTTAAGAGGTTTGGTTTTGTTAAATGAGGATTTTTGTATTAAACTGCTTATTGTTCTTAAAGTGAATACTGAAGCTATCTTTTAAGGCATTCAATTAACCCGCGGGAAAGCACATGGGGTGTATTATACCCAAACCCCTACATAAAAGTGGAATATTCGTAACTTGTGAAACTGAAATTCTGTGCTGCATTCAGTAGCTGAGTTTCTAGTTGTGGTTGACTTTCGGAACCGAATTTTTCTTTGCCTGTGTGTTTCAGAAAAAGATTTATCGGTATTCTGTTGGAACTGGGGTATGACACACCCCACGCGCCTGTCCGCGTAAGTGTTTTTCTGACTGAATATTTAGTTCAGAAATTTATTTCTAGAGTGTAACAGTAAATATTTCTACTCGCAAGTGATTTTAAAGTGCTTGAAATTAAATTCTTAAAAATTTCTAACCGCATTATGGTAAATAGAATGACTTCCTATGAATTAGAGATGCAACACCTGTGAGATTTATTAGAAATATTTGAAAGCGATGAAGCTTGCATTTCGGAAACTGAAGATAAAACTAGGAATATTTTCTACACTGTTTTGGTTTCGAAAAAGATAAAACATTAATTCCTGATGTTCCTAAAAAAGGAAAAAATGTTCTTATTCTTTCAACATTATATAACGATCATACTATAGATGATACTATTGGAGAAAATAAAACGTCAGGAATTATATGTTTTTATAATATGACTAAAGGAGCAGTGGCTATGGGGGATGAAATGTCAGCCAATTATTCAATTGCCAGAATAACAAGGAGGTGGCCAATGGTAATTTTCTTTCCTGCACTGAATGTTGTTGTAATAAATGCTTGAATTATATTGCATTCAACTGCTAATCCACCAACCAGAAACAGAAGTCTGTTTTTGAAGGTCTTAGCATTATTAATGAAAAAAAGTATTGAACAAAGATCAAAGATTAATACTTTACCAACAAACTGACGTACTGCAAGCTGCATGCAAACAAAAGCAGAAGTTTCGACGAAGAATTAAAACGAATACATGAAATTCGAAACAACTAAGTATGAAAGATGTGATAAATTGCCCTTGCGCCAAGGACAGAAGAACGTGAATGCAATGTTTAAAATGTAAAAACATTCTGTGCCAAGAACACATGAATGTATTTTGCGTTCAAAGTGTGAAGAAATCAAATAAGCATTGCGTATTAGAGATGCAATGAAACTTGGAGGCATGATGTTTATTTTTTTATTATTTTCATTTATCTTAATTTTAACTCTAAGATTATTTTGGAAATTAATTTTTTGAAACCCAATTATTATTCACATATTTATAATACACGAGAACAAGAAAAACAGCTTTTAAAACTAAATAAAACTATTTTTATCGTATTTGAAATATTGGGGTATGTTCCCATTCTAGTAACTTTCTAACATTCTAGTAACACACGCGCCCATTCTAGTAACTTTTCTTGGTGCGACTTCCGACGGGTTAAGAAAAAGATATCGCTGAACTGATATCTTTTAAGGCACTCAATTAAGACATATAGGAAACAGACCAAAACCAATATAATTACACATTAGGAGTATCGAATTGAAGAATTTAATAAGACATACTATTGTTCAATTTCATTGTGTATTAGTTGAAAGATAGCTTGAATTTTTATAAGAATTTTTATCTGTGTTTTTTATCATTCCATTGTGTACTTAAAAGATTGCTAAAAACCGATTCTGGGCAGATAAGGATCAATAGAAGATTGCAGGTGATAATTACTGCCAATAAGTGTAAACTTATTTTTAAGCCAAATTATTTGCAGTAATGTTGCTAGAAAGGAAAAAACTCAGTATTTAAATAAACAGCATTTTTTTAGTGATATAGTGGACTTATTTTTGTAGATTAAAAAAGGTAGATCTAAAAAATTTAATTTATTTTTTTGCTGAAAATAAGAATTATGCAACGCGAAAGTTACTGCGTCAGAATTAAGTAAATGTTTATAAATATTTGTTTTTTGGAAAGGCTTTCTGCCCACACGGCAGGGTGGTATGAAAAAATTACTGTTTCTTGTATGTAAGTACTGTATATTCCAGTGTACTTACATTCGAAATTATAGGTACGTTCGAAATTATAGGTGAGAGTTATACAACGGGCATCGGTGTATAACACTCACCTATAATTTCGAACTACATATTTTTTTATTTTTAAGTATATTCGCCGTACAATGTGCACCTTTTTCCAAACGCTTCAAGCCAGTCAAGAAATAGTGTGTGAATGGATAATAAAAGCACAAAATTAAATTAATCCCGACATAATTCAAAAGCCATCTTAAAATGTAATATACCTAACAATATACTAAAAGATAATTATTAATTTATGGATCAGGAGTAACAGTGATGGTAAAGATGAAGCAGAATTCGGTAATATGTCTGAAGATATAACGGAAGGCGAATAGACGAACTTTCCTCGTTATCCGGTAATGAAAGCTTTTAAGATCATAGAATATGTCATTTCTTTTAAACAAACAGGATTTAAATGCACGCAGAAATCTAATTTTTGCATTCTCATCTTTTCCTTATTTCTGAATCTATCATTTTTATATCCTGCGTATAAAGCGCAGCTCGTAAATTTCGACTTTATTTTTTTTTGTATTAAAAGTGCGCGTTATATACGGTAAATTTATAGAATAGTGATATCGGATTTAGTAATTTAGCAACCTTGGCAGCAAGTTTTTCATCCCTTTAGTAATTTGTTAGCAGCTTACAGATCTAAAGAATATCTTAATCTTAACTGTGATCTGGAAGTTTCTAGATCCATTGAAATAGCATTGCATTTTACATGCAAATCAGTTACGGGCAAGTTAATTTAGGGGAAAGTCAGAATTAAGAAGATTAATCTCAGTTTTATTTTTACACCAGCGTCTGTTTCAGTAATAATCTGCAAAATGTTCCTTTTACAAATTACACTGCCCTGTTACTTTTTTAAATTCGTTCCGTAGTCGGGCCAGTACGAAACCGTAGCTAAAGTACGCGTGCAAAAGCGCTAAATCTAGGAAAGGCCCTCATTTAATGGTAAACTATCACTTAAATTCAGATTTCTAGTAAACGCGTGTGAATTTAGACTGCACTTTAAGTTAAATAGCTCTAGAATTTTAAGCCACCCTTGAAATGCTGGTTTAAATGTTAAATTTTTTGATAGCGCTATGAATCGAACAATTTGGAATCTACTCAAGAACGTAAAGCCTGCAATAGAGTTTTTTCAAAGAAAAGGTATCTATCATTCATGAATAGAAAAGAACCATGAGATGAAACTGTGTTTAATTCAACAGAGAAATGGCAAAATAGAAGGAAGGGTTAAAAGCACAAAACTGCCTCGAAGGATCGAAAATACGCTCAATAGAATTTGTGAACTCCAGCGGAAGATGAATCACAATACAATGTTAGACTGAAACAGTTGCATGCATGAAGTGTGCGCCACAGCTCTTTAATTGCTTGGCTTAGGTTCAAATCGGTGGATGTGATTATATTATTGGAAGTAGATGAAAGCTTTTCACTCGAAGAAAGAACTTGTAAGGATCTTAAGTTTTACTAACGTTTATTTTATTTTAAATCTTTACTATCACTTCTTATTTTCTACTTCCGGCCAGAAATAAAAGCTTTAACTTATTTATGCAAATTTGTCTTGCGAACGCCAAGTACTTAAGTTGTGGCTTTTTGCCAAGCGAGAGAGAGGAAGGAGCCATTAGAAGCAGGCCGCTTGCCTTAGAAGTTTTACTCGGTTGCTGGTTGCCTTCCAGGCCAGAGGTTTAATCCTCTTGATAATTTTAAACGTATTGTAGTGTTAACAGTTCTCTGTACTACATACGGCTTCCTGTTAATATAAGGCCAATCTTGGAGTTAGGCACTTGTTTGATTAATCCAAAGTTAAGTTTAGTTAGAGTTTAGTTAATATTTTTATATTCTTACGTTCAGACCACAAGTGGTTGGTCTCTGTATTCCGAAGTCCGGAAATCATTGTAAAGAGAGAAAAATAAAGGGTTTCGTATACCCTTCCTGTGTATCTTGTCTACTTCCCAAATTTATTGAACATAGCTTTAGTAAGCTCCCTGTTCCGAGTCAGGACAGTTAAATGTTCCCTAAGCAAGTAAGGAGGAACACAGAACCTGATAAACTTAGGGCTTGGTCTTCCGCCACAATGGGTTTTGGTGGATTGTGCAGGCAATCAAATATTTTTCAGTCGCTTTTCCAAACCGATCGATGAAAACATTATTGAATGTCATATAGGGAAGTATCGCAGACAGAAGCATTGTTTATATTGATTGCTAAAAAGCATATAAGTCGGATAAATTGCGGCTTTAAACATTTTACTATTATTCAAAAATATAGCATCATGGACCTCGAAAGTGGGTATCATACATAAACAATACTGTGGCTGTAAGGCAGTACTAAATCGCGTAATAAACTCCATAGGACAGTGGTTCCCCACCCTATGCCCGCGGGCACTATTGCGCCCATTGATCGTTTAACATATGCCCGCCGCTGTACGATCACAATAAAAATGTTTTAGTTTTCAATAAAATCCTATACGAAAGTTTTCTCATTTTTAATGAAATAAAAATTACATCCAACACAGATGCCAGCACAAAGAGAAATGCGACCAATCTCTTTTTTTTTTTTTTTTCTATGTGCATGCATTTTTAATTCTATCCAACCGTCCAACACATATTCTAGAATGTGTTTGTTCTTAAGAACAAAAAGGTTGGGAACCTTTGTCCTAGGGTAAATGCTCGATGGTACTTTGATTCTTTTTTATCCGAACTTATATGGAGGAGTTTACACACACACACACACACACCCGAAAAAAAAAAAACTGAAAAATTCTGCGTAGTGTTGGAAGAGATTAAAAACTGTATGTCTCCTTCATTTAAATTTAGCAGTTTTATTCATTTATTTATTTTATGGATTGTAATTAAAAATATGCTTCCCAGATGGTGTAGTGGTTAGAAGAGCTGACTGCGATACCAAATGCCCCAGTTTCGATTCCCGAAGAAGGCTTGGTTGACCCCCCCTAAGGTTCATATTAAAAACGCATGCTTTAAGAAAGAAATTCAATATTTACATAAAACTTTTTTTTTAATTATTAGTTTCAGTCCCGAAGGACTATTGCTTTCGTTTTGGCATTTTGCGTCGGACTCATAAACGTCGGTTCACTTTTCAAACTGTTGCCACAAAATGTTAGAGTCCTGCATTATATTTGAAGAAATTAAATAATGAAAAATCTGCATAAATGATTGTCTATTTCTCGCATTGTGATAAAACAATGGTACATAGAGCCATCGAATTTTGAATGACGAAATCCTACTGCGAATATGGGCATCTGAAATCCCAAATTTGGAATTTGTTTTATTATAGATTTTATATTTTGTAAAACTTTAACGAATTTTTGATTTACAAACTCAATGCTTTAAAAGCGAGAAATGGCAACGTTATATAGAAAAAAAAATACTTTTATCTCCAGCTCGCGAGACTGTGTATATCGGAAATTCTAAAGATATGCTTAATTTAACATTATTTTGCGATATTGCTCTTGAACTGAATTTTATGGTTTAAGTGCAAAGAACATGATATTTAATAAATAAAGGTAACACTCAAAACGTTAAAAAAAACGCCCCTTTGGACGTAATTTAAAATCTGAAAATTTCAGATTTTTTTTTTTTTTAATTTTTTTTAGAATTTGCTCGTGAAATAGCTGAATGTTGAATTGTTTGTTCTCCAAAGGATATTTACGATAAACAGAAAGAAACATTTTTTTCGGTTTCGAAAAATTTACCAGTGGTTACTTGCAGTATCTGAAAACGAAATAAATATAAGAGTTTATACCTCAAGACATGGTGTGTACTTAGATTCAATAGAAGAAAAGATATTTCCGCCATTCGTAAAATTACCATTCAGAGTCGAAAAGATATTTAAATTATATCCTGTTACAAGGAAACTAACTTACAGGACCATGATACCAGTTGTCTTGTACCATTCTTTTCTAGATTCTCTGTACGCTTTCATAGTGGAAAATTCACTTCTATTTGGATAAGGACCTTCATTTCTAAAAACAGTTTCCATATCATCAGGGTTGAAAGTTGCTACCATATTTAAATGCCCAAACTTTTCTCTTATGATATCTCCAAGCAGCTGTCGTTTATGGCGTGTAGCTAAATGAAGTTTATCCATTTTATACCGACCTAATAAATAAAAAATAGTTGCATTAAAATTTCATATTTCACGTAATAATTCTTTGAATTTAAACGATTATCTCTCTTAGATAAGAAATCATGATAGATAATTGCATATTATTTGAATTTAGGTTAGTAATAAACTGACAAACACAGAATGCAAAAAATAAATTATAATTCGTTAGTATTAAAATTAGTCTCGAAATGGTATTACAAATCGGTTCATTACAAAGGGCTTGTCACTTTTCAAATTGTTGCCACTAAATAAATCACACAGCATTGTTTTCAAAGAAATTAAATAATGAAGAATCTGTTTATATGCATATGTTCCTCACATTGTGAAAACGGTACCCAGAGACATCAAATTTAATAACATAATCCTCCACTCGAACATGTGGACCTGAAAGCCCAAATTTTGAATTTCGAATTTTCTTCATTATTTATTGCAGATTTTGTAAAACTTAAACGAGTTTTTGATTAAAAAAACTGAACAATTTCAAAGCGAGCAATGGTAACACTGTACGTAATAAAACATTTTTACCTCCAGCTCACGAGATTGTCTATCGGAAATACTAATTATATGCTTTTTAAAATATTTTGTGATTTTGCTGTTGAATTGAATTTTATGTGGCTTAAGTGAAAAGAAAGTGATATTTAATAAATTAAGTTAACGCACAAAACGTTAATAATAAAAAATCTGATGTGTACACCACATAACTTCCTTGTATGGAATATTAAATTATACACATTTTTTCTTCATTTCATTTCAACTTATTGGGATTGAATTAAAATGAACTTCGTCGACAGCGCATAAACCACAATAGAATAAATGCACTTTTAAAATTCAATATATTTGTTTACCAAAACAAATATATTGAATTGCGACACTCTGGCGCTACGTTTACTTAACAGCGTTATATTTCGTTTATATTGTTGCGTGCGTACGGGTTCGTTATGAAATGAATGCACAAGTCCGATGAAAAAGGAATAAAAATTTATTATTATCACAACAAAAATGCTTAAATTTTCTCAAATTATCATGCAGTATTACAATATCTCACAGTAGTTATCTTTTAACTACTCAAATGTCCAATAGAACGTAATTCAAAACAGCTAAAGAACGCTAATCCGCGAATTCGCTACAATCAACAAGAGCAGTTTTCTAAACAACAACAAACTAAGCAACTACTACAAACTGAGATGTTTTCCTCCTTTTATAAGATTTTAAAATCACGCGCTAGAATTTTCCAGTACTTTCTCGAAATCAAAAAGAGATATTTATTTATTTAATGCACGCGCTCTTGTATTTTCAATTTTCCGGCTTAGCTTTCTTTTAATATTCGTCACGCGCTGCACTGCGCGAGAAATAAAACCATTTAATTTATAATTGAACTAACATTAGCTTTTTAAATACCAAATTCGTAACACTGCCCCCTTCCCAAGGACTGCACGTCCCGGGCAGTACAATCCCTGGACAGGAAGCTAAACTTACAACTGTGGCATAAACATTACATTACAATATCAAACAACATGAACAATAAATGCAATAACTAACTTAAACAAATCAAATGCTATCAAATACTAAATACAAAACAAATACTAAATACAAATCAAATACTAAATGCAAATCAAATATTAAATGCAAATCAAATACTAAATACAAATCAAATCAAATACACATTTAAAAACAAAAAGGACCATGGTCTGATACTATTTACAATTATTTACATTACGTACTATGGCCATAGTAATGAGCTAACCTGTCGTAATGAACGACTTTAGGTTTAGAGTTCGAAGACTTACGAATCCGAACCACGACGTCATTCAGCCTTTTTAGGACTGTGTACGGGCCATCCCAAGGTGACTGTAATTTCGGACAAAGTCCTTTCCGTCGAGTCGGATTCCACAACCACACCTTGTCTCCTTCGTGGAATTGATGTTCAGTAGCTCTTGTGTCGTAGCGGGTCTTCATCTTCTCCGTCGCCAAGTTGACTCGCTCTCGTGCAAAGTTGTGCATCACTTCAAACCGGGCCTGGAGATCTTGAATATATTCCTCAGACGATGAAGGAGCATCCGGAGGGCGGCCAAACAATAGATCACAAGGCAGACGAAGGTCACGACCGAAGAGCATCTGTGATGGAGAATAGCCGGTAGTCTCGTGGACAGCACTGCGGTAAGCCAGTAAAAAGAGTGGTAATTTCTTGTCCCAGTCCTGCTGGTTTCTGGAAACCACTAATGAGAGGTTATTAAGGATGGTTCGATTGAACCTCTCTACCATGCCGTCCGACTGGGGATGTAATGGCGTCGTTTGGGTTTTGTCAATGCCGAGTAGTTTGCATAGTTCTTTGATTACTACCGAGGTAAAATTCCTTCCCTGATCGGAATGTAACTGAAGAGGCACTCCGAACCTGGAAATCCAGTGCTGTATCATTACCTCAGCTACTGTGACAGCCTCTTGATCAGGAATAGGATAAGCTTCAGGCCACTTGGTGAAGTAATCAATGACAACGAGTATGTATTTGTTGCCATCAGCAGTTCGTGGCAGAGGTCCCAGGATGTCAAAGGCGATACGTTCAAAAGGCGCCCCTACGTTGTAACGTTGCAGCTTGCCTCGGCTGCGTCTCTTCGGTCCTTTCCGACCTGCACAGGCATCGCAAGATCGGCACCACTTTTGCACGTCATCCTTTGCATTATTCCAGTAAAAGCGCTCACGAACTCTCTGTAAGGTCTTCATTATTCCAAAGTGACCTCCGTAGGGCTGTTATGTAGTTCTTTAAGGACATCAGGAATGCGGGATCTTGGAAGTATCAGCTGCCATCGGAACGTCTTCCCATCATCCGATTCGAATTTCCGGTATAAGACGCCGTTTCGAATGTGAAGTGAATCCCAGAGTGCCCAATATTGTTTTGGTTGTAGGACTACAGATAGAAATGTCCTGCCAGGTAGGTTTTCTGTTTGATGACTCCATTAAATCAATTATGGGTTTAATGTCGCGGTCTTCCAGCTGGTCTTTCCTGACTTCATCATCACTCCACGGTTCTCGATCAGCCGATGTTGATGTTGTTGTAATTTGTCTTGCGACCGGAGTCAGCAGCTCGTATTTCGCTTCCACCCTGGAACAATATCGGCAGCTTTCTTGGCAAGGTCTTCTAGACAGGGCGTCGGCGTTTCCGTGTGATGATCCCTTACGATGACGGATAGTGATGTCATATTCTTGGAGTCTCTGTATCCACCTGGCTATTTGACCCTCAGGATTCTTGAAATTTAAAAGCCAGGTCAATGATGCATGATCGGTGCGGAGCAGGAATTTTCTGCCGTATAGATAAGTGATGGAAACTGTTCTACAGCTTTGACTATGGCGAGCAACTCTTTCCTGGTGACACAATAATTCCTCTCCGGTTTAGACAGGCACTTGCTCCAGTACGCCACTACACGTTCTTGGCCGTCTATTTCTTGGGACAAAACAGCACCGACACTTTCATTGCTCGCGTCGGTGTCGAGAATAAATGGTCTGTCGAGCTGAGGATACGTCAGGATTGGAGCAGATGTTAAAGCCTTCCTTTAAGTTGTTAAATGCATCCTCGCATTCTTTTGTCCACAAGAACTTTTGGTTGCTCTCTGTCAGCTTGTGAAGGGGTCTTGCGATGGAAGAAAAGTCCTTCACGAATCTCCTATAGTAGGTGCAAAGCCCTAGGAAGCTTCTCAGCTGATGGACATTTTCGGGACGTTTCCAGGATTTAACCGGCTGATACCTTTTCAGGATCCGTGCGCACACCTTCTGCAGAGATGACATGTCCCAGGTAAGTCACTTCCTTTCGGAACAATTTGCATTTAGCGGGACTCAGCTTCAGATTGGCTTCTTTCAGTTTCTGAAGCACCTTCCTAAGATTTTCTAAATGTTCTTCAAAACTCTTTTCCGACGATGATGATGTCGTCCAGGTATATGAGGCAGGCTTCGTAGGAAAGGCCTTTCAAAACAGTCTCCATAAGACGTTCGAATGTTGCCGGCGCATTACACAGTCCAAACGGCATCACCTTGAATTGCCAAAGCCCTTGTCCCGTAGTAAATGCCGTCTTTTCTCGGTCTTCAGGATGTATTTCTACCTGCCAATACCCACTCTTTAAATCAAGTGTTGAGAACCACTTGCTTCCAGAAAGAGTGTCTAGAATGTCGTCAATTCTAGGAAGAGGGTAACTGTCTTTCTTCGTAACCTCATTCAACCGGCGATAGTCGACGCAAAATCTTGTTGAGCCGTCTTTCTTTCTGACTAGGACGATGGGAGATGCCCATGGACTTACTGAAGGCTCGATGACATCGCCTTTCTTCCATATCTTTTAACAGTGTTCGCACCTCTTCCTGTTTAGCAAACGGTAGACGTCTTGGATGTTGCTTGATCGGGGGATGATCGCCGGTATCTATTCTATGTTGTGTCAAACTAGTTCGACCCACGTCAGAAGACGAGCGGGAGAAAACAACTTGAAGATCTTTAATGACGCGATCGGCAGCATTCCTCTCTTTATCGTTTAATTGCGCATTCTGCAATAACTCCGATGTAATGCTCTCTGAGGACACGGATTCTTGGATGTTACTCTTTCTTTCAACGTGGTTACTGGAGTACATGCTGCAACCACTTCACCTTTCTTAATAATTCTCCCCTTCTCAGTTACATTGGCGACTCTCACCGGGATAACCGTTCTGGATAGGTCGACGAGTGTTGAGGCTACTAGTACTCCTTTTGGGCTATTACAGTTATTGGGATATTCTATGATGCCGTAGCGGAAATTTCTGTTTTCGGCTATGGATCCAGGAAGTAAAATTTCTGTTCTTGCCGGTATTGTGATATTGTCTTGTGCTATGATTTTATGGACAGATTTAACTTCATCATTGACTCCAAATAACGCTATGTCCTCAGATGTAGAATGCAATTCGTTATTTTTAAAGTCCAAGGAAAAATTGTATTTCCTTAGAAAGTCCAATCCGAGTATGCAAGAATCAGTGATCTCTGCTA